TGACTCACCAAGCGATATCGAGGCCGCGGCCGTGGTCAATCCCCCCCCTCCTTTCCTTCTTTCCCTCCACCGCCACTCTCTTTTTCCTTGGGCCACGCTCCTCCATCCTTCCCCTGTTCCCAGCAATGCCGACAAGCCCTGGACAGCCTCGTCGCCAGATTTTACTCCGATGCCGTGGAGGCACGAGAAACACCCGAAGTGAAGTACTGCGCGAGCATGCTGCAATATCTCGACGCGCGCCTGGAACGGGCAGGGGACGCTGCCCAGCGGCGGGAAGAAGAAAAGTTGGCGCGTGTGGCCGCGGGAGAGGAAGGAGGGGGACTCAGGGAAGGAGGAGACTGGAAGGGGAGTGTGGGTCACCTTTTGGGGCTCATGTGCGGTCATAATGCGTCGTTCTCGGAAGAAGAGAGGGCAAGGTTGATGTATCACCTGTCACGGGGGTGGACAGTCGAGTCCTTTGCCGGCCCCTGAGAAAAAAGTAGAAGCTTGCGAGGCAAAGGGTCATGACTGAGATACTCCAGCAATATCGGCATGTAAAACATAATTATGCCGCCTCCTGGTCGGTTCCGTTACCGCTTTGGTTTTGAAAAGAAAAATACCTGGTTACTTTGTGTTCCTAGTCCGTGGTTTTAATTTCGACCGCACGGGTTTACACTCCAGAGCCAGACATGTGATGCACTAATTAAGACGTGTCATGATGTTGATACGGTGCGCATGCGCGAAATGCTTACACTGCGATACCCCGACAGCCCGTGAGAGTCGTGCTCGATAAGCAATCCTCAACGCCGACTATGCTGAATAAAAATGCCATTTGCCACCGATGCGAACGAAAAACCAATCTGGGAGGGATTTGTATGATCCTTGAGTGTTCAAGCACTTCGGCAAGAGCCCAAACGGACGAGTAGATAGAGTTTTGGGGAGTGGTGGTGGTGATACGATCCAGTTGTGGGAACGTAAAGCAGGCATCGGTGTGCCTATCGTGCATTTCAAGCTCCTGTGTCGCATGTTTGCGCTTGTGTTGCCCAAGTCATGAAGAGATATAGAAATTGAAGACGTAGTGCCAGGCTATATTACGGTACGATATTCAAATCCGTGTAATGACAGGATAACAGCGTTCTTAATCGCGCAGTAGCTATTTATGTTGCGTTACACCGAAGCGCGGTTTGCCCCCTGTACCCTTTTTTGTTTGTAGAGGTTTGCGGGCTAGTATTTTCTTGGCTATGAACCAAACAATGGTGGCCATACGCACGTCACTACTTAAATAGTAATTCGTGCGTATTTTTGATGAAAGCATGGGTTTTTGGTCGAGAATTTCTCGGTCGCACTCTTCAGCTATCATATCAGCCTTCTTATTAGGGTCACGATAAAGCGTACAGTAACATTTGAGACGATATTCTTCCCTCACCGCTATACTTCCCTCACCGTACTCAGTCCCTTTTACTCTGCCCTATCGAGACAGGATGTCCAACATTTATCACTTGGAACCACCGACCAAGGGCAAATTGGTCCTCCATACTACTTTCGGTCCCGTGGACGTCGAATTATGGCCGAGAGAAGCTCCTTTGGCTTGCAGGTAAGGGCCTAAGACTGAAAATCTGGATGGACGTGGCAGCCCCCTGGTATTAATAGGCTGCTGAGCGTTGTGTTTTTGTTGCCATGTCCGGTATATGCGAGTGTCCATTTTCTCGCTCACGACCATTAATGAAGGGCGAAGACTGAAATAAGAGGCTGCGCGGAGCTTCTACAAATCCCGCACCGGAAGTTCTATTCATGCCTTTCCGTCGCATTCCTTGTGTCCCTTCACTACATTGCATGCTCCCCCTACAATCAAGTATCTGAATATTGCGTGCCGGAAGCGCCACGGCTCCGTATTGCAGCTCAACTTAACCTCCTCCCCCCATCTCCTTTTCTTCCTGTCTGTTTCCCGTCGCAGAAATTTTGTCCAGTTGGCATTGGAGGGATACTACGACCACACACTCTTTCACCGCGTTGTTCCTGGTCTGTGCGTGCAGGGCGGAGACCCCACCGGGACCGGCGAAGGGGGCGAAAGCATTTTCGCCGAGGAGGGGGGAAAAGAGGGAGGGAAGGAGGGAGGCAAAGTAGGGAGAGGGAAGGGAGGAGGCTTTCGGAACGAGGTCCACACGCGC